ACACACACACACAACACACATCACACACACACACACAACGCACACACACACACACACACACACACACCTCCTCTCTCCTCTCTCTCTCTCTCTCTCTCATCTCTCCTTCCCTCTCTCTCTCTCTCTCTCTTCTCTCTGTCTCTCTCGTCCTCTCTCTCTCTCTCTCATCTTCTCCTCTCTCTCTCTCTCTCTGCTCTCTCTCCTCGTCTCTCTCTCTCTCTTCTCTCTCTCTCATCCTCTCCCCTCTCTTCCCTCTCATCTCTCTCTCTCCCCCTCTCTTCTCTCTCCCCTCTCTCTCTCTCTCACTCTGCTCTCTCTCCTCTCTCCTCTTCCTTCCGTCTCTCTCTCTTCTCTCTCCTCTCTCTCTCTCTTTCATCTCCTCTCTCTCCTCTCCTTCCCTCATTCTCCTCTCTCTCTCTCTCGTCCTCTCTTCTCCTCTCTCTCTCTCGCCTTCCTCGGTCATCTCTGAATCTCTCTCTCTCTCTCTCTCTCCCTCTCTCTCCTCTCTCTCTCTCAACTGGGTTGGTATGTAAATGTATGTACGTATGCATGTATGTTGGTATGATATACGGGTGTGCGAGTGTTTCATGAAAATAATAAAAACCGTTTGAGTATGTGAGAAGAAATTCAAATCCTTGAAATACAAAGAAGGGGAAAAAAATTTGGACACCGAGGCAGCTCCGCCTCGAAGAACCCAAAGAAGCGGCTTGTTTGTGCTGCCCGCCCCCTCTCCCTCTCCCCTTCCCCCTGCTGCCTTCCCTCTCCTCTCCCCTTCCCTGTGCCCTCCCTCTCCTCTCCCCTTCCCCTGCTGCCCTCCCTCTCCCTCTCCCTTCCCCTGCTGCCTCCCTCTCCTCTCCCCTTCCCTGGCTGCCTTCCCTCTCCCTCTCCCCTTCCCCTGCTGCCCACCCTCTCCCTCTCCCTCTCCCCTTCCCTGCTGCCTTCCCCTCTCCCTCTCCCTCTCCCCTTCTCCTGCTGCCCTCACTCTTACTCTCGGCCCTTCCCCTGCTGCCCCCCCCTGCCTCTCCCCTTCCCCTGCTGCCTTCGCCCTCTCCCTCCTCCCTTCCCCCCTTGCCCCCTTTGTCCCCCCTCTCCCTCTCCCTCTTCCTCTTCCCTGCTGGCCCCCCTTCTCCTCTCCCCTTCCCTGCTGCCCTCCTTCCCCTCTCCCCCTTCCCCTGCTGCCCCCCTCTTCCCTCTCCCCTTCCCCTGCTGGGCCCCCCCTCTCCCTCTCCCCTTCCCCTGCTGCCTTCCCTCTCCCTCTCCCTCTCCCCTTCCCCTGCTGCCCTCCCTCTCCCTCTCCCCTTCCCCTGGCTGCCTTCCCCTCTCCCTCTCCCCTTCCCTGCTGCCTCGCCTCTCCCTCTCCCTTTCCCCTGCTGCCCTCCCTCTCCCCTTCCCCTGCTGCCTCAACTCTCACTCTCCCTTCCCCTGCTGCCCCCCCTCTCCGCTCTCCCTTCCCCTGGCCTGCCATGCCCTCTCCCCTCCCCTCCCCCTTCCCCTGGCTGCCTTCCCTCTCCCTCTTCCCTCTCCTCCTGCTGCCCCCCCCCTCTCCCTCTCCCCTTCCCCTGCTGCCTTCCCTCTCCCTCTCTCATCTCCCCTTCCCGCTGCTGCCTTCCCCCTCTCCCTCTCCCCTTCCCCTGCTGCTTCCCTCTCCCTCTCCCTCTCCCCTGCTGTCCCCCTCCTTTCCCTCTCTCCCCGTTCCCTGCTGCCTTTCCCTCTCCCTCTCCCCTTCCCTGCTGCCCGCCTCTTCCATCTCCCCTGCTGGCCCTCGCCTCTCCTCTCCCCTGCTGCTTCCCTCTCCCTCTTAATCTTCCTCTCCCCTGCTGCCGCCCCTCTCCCATCTCCCTGCTGCCCATCCCCCTCCTTCCGCTCTCCCTTCCTCTGCCTGTCCCCCCTCTCCTCTCCCCTTCCCACTGCTGCCCTCCCTCGTCCCTCTCGCCCTTCCCCCTGCTGTCCCCTCTCCCCTCTCCCCTTCCCCTTCTGCCCCCCTCTCCCTATCTCCCCTTCCCCCTGCTGCCCGCCCCTCTCCCTCTCCCCTTCCCCTGCTGGCCTCCCTCTTCCCTCTCCCCTTCCCCTGCTGCCCCTCTCCCTCTCCCCTTGCCCTGCCTGCCCTCCCTCTCCCTCTCCCCTTCCCCTTCCCCTGCGCCCTCGCCTCTCCCCTTCCTGCTGCCCCCCTCTTCCCTCTCCCCTTCCCCTGCTGCCTCCCTCTCCCTCTCCTCTCCCCTTCCCCTGCTGCCCTCCCTCTCCCTTCCCTGCTTCCTCCCTCTCCCTCTCCTCTCCGCCTCTTCCCTCTCCCTTTCCCTGCTTCCCCCCTCTCCTTCTCCCCGTTCCCCTGCTGCCTCCCTCTCCTCTCACCCTTCCCCTGCCTGCCCTCCCTCTCCCTCTCCCCTTCCCCCTGCTGCCCCCTCTCCCCTTTCCTTCCTGCTGCCCCCCCTCCCTCCCCCTCCCCTGCCTGCCCCCTCTCCCTCTCCCCTTCCCTGCGCCCCCCCTCTCCCTCCCCCTTTCCCCTGCTGCCCCCCTCTCCCTCTCCCTTCCTGCTGCCCCTTCCCTCTCCCCTTCCCTTGGCTGCCTTCCCCTCCTCTCTCTCTCCCCTGCTGTCCCCCCTCTCCCTCTCCCCTTCCCCTGCTGCCCCTCTCCCCTCTCCCTTCCTCTGCTGCCCTCCCTCATACCTCTCCCTTCCCCTGCTGCCCTCCCTTCTCCCTCTCCCTTCCCCTGCTTTCTCTCCCTCTCCCTCTCCCTTCTCCCCTTTTCTGTTTCCCTCCTCTCCCTGCCCCCTCCCCCGCCTGCCCCCGCTCTCCCCTCCCCTTCCCCTGCTGCCCCCTCTCCCTCTCCCCTTCCCCTGCTGCCCTCCCTCTCCTCTCCCTCTCCCACTGCGCCCGGCACCGCCATCTCCCCTCTCCCCTTCCCTGTGCTCCCTTCCTCTCGCTCCGACCTCTCACTGCTGGCCCCCTCTCCTCTCCCCTTCCCCTGGCTGCCCTCCCCCCTCTCCCTCTCCCCTTCCCCTGCTGTCCCGACTCCTCCTCTCCCCTTCCGCCGTGGCCCCCCTCTCCCTCTCCGCCTTCCTCTGCTGCCACCCCTCTCCCCTTCCCCTGCTGCCTCTCCTCCCCTCCCCTTCCCACTGCTGCCCCCCTCTCCCCTCTCCCTTCCCGCTGCTGCCCCCTCTAACCCCTTCCCTGCTGCCCTCCCTCTCCGCCTCCTCTCCCTTCCCCTGCTGGCCCCCCCTCTCCCTCTCCCCTTCCCCTGCTGCCCTCTCCCCTTCCCCTTTGCCCCTCTCCCTCTCCCCTTCCCCTGCTGCGCCCTCTCCCCTTCCCCTGCTGCCCCCCTCTCCCTCTCCCCTTCCCCTAGCCTGCCCTCTTCCCTCTCCCCTTCCCCTACTGCCACCCCTCGTCCTTCTCCCCTTCCCCTGCTCCCCCACCCTCTTCCTCTTCCCCTGCTCCCCGCCTTTCCCTTCTCTTCCCCCTGATGCCTCCTCTCCCACTCCGTTCCTGTCCCTCTCGCCTCCCCCACTGCTCTCTTTCCCCTTGTCCCTTCACTCTCGCTTTCCAATCCCTCCCTGTCCCCTTTTCCCTTCCCCTACCCGCATCCTTTCCCCCTTCAACTTCCCCTCTCCCCTTCCCTCCTTTCCCCCAACTCTCCTACTGTCCCTTTCCTTCCCACCTCCCCTTTCCCCCTCTCCTTCCCCTTCTCCTTTTCTATCCTATCCCCGCTCCGCTTTCCCTCCTCTCCCTCGCCTTTCCTCCTCTCTCCCTCCCCTTTCCTCCTCTCGCCTCTCCCGCTTTCCCCTCTGCTCTCCCCTTTCCCCTCTTCTCCCCCTTTTCCCCACCCGCCTCATTTTGTGTCCCAGTCTATTTACCTCAGGCTTGTAACCGGTCGCAGATTTTTATAGTCCATATTACTGTACAAAGTGGCACAGTAATCTTTGTACTCGGATATCCAGGGCATAGAAAGCTGCAGCGAAATTGTCTTTTTTGAATGTATTTGCTAATCGCCAAGTTCGGACAACTGGCACACATACACAGACTCAAACATAGAAACACACACACATACACATGTACACACGTTCAACACACATACACAGCTCACACACACACACACACAGCACATAAACACATACACAAAACACACACGAACACACATAAACGCGCCGAGGCGCATACACACACAATGACCACACCACACACACAACACACACACATATATATATATATATATATATATTATAATATATATATGATATATATATATATTATATATTATATATTATATATATATATATATATAATATATATATATATATAATATTATATATATATATCATATATATATATATATATATATAATATATATATATATATATATAATATATATATATAATATATATAATAATATATAAATATATATATAAATAAGCGCGTGTGTGTGTACAGTATTTTACATATAAGCACACACACACACATGTTAGTTTGTGTGTGTGTTTGTCTGTGTGCATAAAATATGGAGAATGGTGCATGTATACAAAAATAATGGCAATATTTTATGATTCTTCCGTGTTTACACACTTCACTCTACTTCCCACTCTCAAGATTCACTTATTACTATTGTTTATATTGCTTCGTATTGTCCTTAGTTTTGTATTTTTTACCAAATGCGTGTCAACCATGATTCTACTATGCCATATTCCCTGATCCTATTAAAAAGTCCCTCCGTCCTTCACAATCCCATGACCTGCGAGGCACTAACGACCCCGTTTGCCCCCAGATGGCGCGGCAGATGAAGGAGGCGGCGGACCTCGGCCAGAAGAACCCGGGCAACGACTCCGCCGTGTCCGTTGGCTCCAGCGAGGAGGACGACGAGGCCAGCATTTCCAAGTACTTTGATTACCTGAATGACGACGACCCGAAGAACGGCAGCGTTTCCAGGAGGAAGAAGAAGAAGAAGGGCCAGGGAAGTGGGAAGGAGAACAATAACCAAGGGGGAGGAGGGAAGGAGAATAACAAGGAAGGAAAAGAGAAGGGGGGCGGGAATCACAATAACAACCACAGTAATGAGAGCAAGGATCAGGGCAAGAGAGACCAGTCCTCTGAACGCCAGAGCCGCAAGGGAGAGTACGAGAAGGACATCAGGCACATTGAACGCCATCTGTCCATGAAGAAGACGATCCGCAAGAAGATGATGCGAGACCTCCAGCAGGCCTTCGTCGAGGACCCCGGGGAGTTCCAGCAGGACCCCAACAGGATGGCTCCGGAGAAGAAGAACAACATCGACATCCGTAATTTGACCTTTTCCAAGAGTCGCCTCTCCAAGTCTGAACACAACTTCCTCGACATGCTCAAGGACGAGAATGCCAAGGAGAAGGAAAAGAAGGACCGCAAGGGGATTTTGGGATACAAGAACAACAAGAACAGAGAGTCTTCCAAGGAGGTTTTGAAGGACGATGACTCAGGCAATGGGTCGCCGACGAGGGAGCCATCTAAGGAAGAAAAGGAGGTGGTGAAGGAGGAAAAGAAGGTCGGCTTTTGGAAGAAGCTAACAGGAAAGGGGAAGAGCAAGCGATGAGGGCTTGTCTGGCAAAGGCGATCCAACATAAAACTGACTGTGATAACCTTCCTGTGCCTAATGTTTTCTCTTGTGAGCGTCAACTGTTAATGTTACATCATTGTGACTATTTATCCTGTTTGTTCTTCCTATGAAATCAGAATCCGTTTTCTTGTTCAATAAGTATCAGATAGATTTGGGGTGATTTATAGTCGAATACTAAATATGAAATTATACCACAATAAATACAGTTCCTATTTCCCCTGCATTCTTTTATCACATTAAAACATTCCATTTTGGATATCGTTCCATTCACTCACATCAACCCACAAATTGTATTTCAAAAAATACTCTGGTGGTACTTGCCTTGAGGCATTTTTTCCTCCCTGTCTTGTCTTTGTCTTGCCTTTTTGTAGGATTATATAAAATGAAAAACCTTTCTGTGTTGTGTGTATATATTCTGATTTTTTTTGTATCGAGGAAAGGGTGTCTATACAATTCAGAATAGTTTTCTAACTACATTATGTGTATGTAATACAAGTTTTATAAGGCCTTTCTTGTGTAATTCAATATATAATCGATGCAAATCAGAAATGACCATGGATATTGGTAGTTAGAATAATAGTTTAGTTTTGCACATGTGGCTTTAGATACTTGTTTTTATGTCTGTTTTTATACTGTAACCCATGTATTTTTGTGTATCATATAAAAGCTGTAGAATGCTGTTATTGGGATTCCAAGGTGTTCATTCAACCTTTATGACTCGTTCATAAATGTTATTTTGAATATGTGGGAAGAAGAGATATTACAATTCCCAGATCCCCCCCTTGAAAAAAGGTACTCCCAACTGAAATTGTTGTCCTTAAATTATATTATTCAAACATCCTTTAAAGCATGAAGAATAAAGGTAACGCTACATTTCTCATGGGAAGGACAATAGATTCAGTGGCTGTACTTTTAGCCTGCTGGTGGTGTAGTGCCAATAGCTGACGCCTGATTTGTGGTAGGGATGTTTTAACAATACGTTTTCTATGTGAAAGTTGTATATATTTTGTTTGACTTAAATAGCCACTTCCATTTGATGTCACAATAGATGAGATGGATTGTGGACATGTCGCATGATGAGCAATTTCACTGTCAGCAATTATAAGAACGGTTAATCACACAGCTTGACAGGATATTTGGCAGAGTATTCAAATGTAAGGAAAGTGTTTGTAATTTCCAGAATGCATTTTCCTTGAAGCATATTGGAATCTATTAATCTGTGAAGAAATAGGTGGGTAAGTTTTTTGAAAATGTGAATATGTACTTATAATCTTGTGCGAGTTACTGTGTGTGCAAATACAACAGAATCCAACTTTTTTTAAAGTTGTCTGTCAACAGTTGCAAACTCCACTGAGAAACAAAGAAGTATTTACCCGAGATAACCATTATGAATGAAGGGAGTAAAATGATATTCAGTATTACGTTGCAAGATGTAAATGGTGACAGGAGAAAATTGAAGAATTCTTGGTAAATATTGCTTGTATGAACATTCTCTACTTAGATGGATGCAAGGAATGTAGTTACAACATATAAACCTTTACCTAAATAAACCTTTAATGTCTCATTAGAAAATTTTGATAATTGGGAGTCAAATTATCAACAAAAGAGGCATGGGACATGAAGGTTCAAAATAAATTAATTAGATTAAATGTCTAGTAATGTGATAATAATATGATAGCCTTTATTGTACACCTGAGACAGGCTTTAATTGGACAAGAGAATATCTGTTTGGAATAAATCCCAAATTAAATGGAATAATGCATTCAAGTGTTTCAAGAGTTGCTTTGGAAACTTATGCTTATTAAATATACATGGAAAGAGGAATGATTAAAAACAACAAAAAAATGTATGGATAGTAGGCTGGCATTGTTATGTAGTATGATAATTGTAAAATGGTGAATATAAATAAAATCTGCTGTTCATTTATGGATATTTTTTAATTAACTTTTCTGTAAAAAATAAAGGGAATATAAAAAGTAATTTACAACATTAGGGATACATAAAATAGGAAAGGAATATTTTGTGATTAAATTCAACATACTAGAAATCTCATATAGAAATGTGGGAAACAAAAAAAAAAAAATAAAAACATCTCTATAATACATAAATACATGAAATGTAACTAAATAAATAATACATTAGTGTGTGTGTGTTGTGTGTGGTTGTGGTGTAGGTGGTTGTGTGTTGATAGTATATTTATATATAGTATATGATATAATATATATAATATATATAATATATATATATATAATATAGATAATATATAGTATATATATCGTACATATGTAATATCTATATATATATGAAAATTCATATACTTTTAAAGAAAATGGATATTTCACAAAGTAATACTGTAAATTAATTCTTATGCTTTTGTAAATAATATCACAAACAAAAAACTGAATAAGAAAAGAACAAATACTCCTTTGCAATAAAAGAGAAAAGAAAAAAAAGAAAGACTTAAACAACTTCAAACCAAGATTCACTTTACAGAAAATCTTTCAAAGCAATTACATGAAATTTCTATGAATTAAATATGAGATAACCTCATCAAATTTTAAAAATTCTTTTAACATTAGCATGTTTTCTTCTTGTATTAACCTTAAATCAAATGTTATTCTTTAGTCAAATGATATAATTAAATCACTTTTTGTATGATTACAAAATTACAATAAGAAAAGATTCATAATAGAGACTCATATACCAAACACAGGAAAGCAAATCACTGGAGGAAAGAAATGTAATTAAAATTATGAATAAAATAAATCTCATCTTAGTACCTATGTGACTAAAAAGAGTAAACAAAATAATATTTTATTTTTCATTCAATATGCTATTATTATTCTTTTTAATGAAAATCTGTAAAGGAAAACATTATTTTAAAAGCATAGTGGACACCATCATCTGTAAGAAGGCAAACAAAAAATAAACATGGTTTATACAGAAAACAAACCTAAGACTCATCTGCCCCCATAGTGCAGAATAAAAACACTTGTATTAGTATATGTTTAATATTGGGGGGAGAGAGGGGAAGGGAGGGGAGGGAAGGGAGGTGGAGGGAAGACGAAGGGGAGGCGATGAGGAGGGGAGTAGGGGAGGGAGGGGAGGGTAGGGGAGGGAGAGGAGAGGAGGGGAGAGGGGAGAGGGGAGAGGGAAGAGGGAAGAGGGGGGAGGGGAAAGAGAGAGAAAGAACGAGAGAGAGAAAGAGAGAGAGAGAGAGATAGGAGAGAGTATGAGAGGAGGGAGGAAGAGAAGAGAGAGAGGAAAGAGAGAGAGAGAGAGAAGAGGAGGAGAAAGAGAGAGAAAAGGAGAGAGAGGAGAGAGTGTCAAATTAGTAACAGAAAGCAAGAAAACAAGACATTAAGAAGAGGAGAGAGAAAAAAATGGTGAGACAGCATAGGAGACAAGACAACAACTCAGCGACAGAGACAGAATAGAGATAGATAAGATAGATGAGAATAGAAGAGAGATCAGAGAATGAGAGAGAAAGATCATGAGAGTAGAGAGAGAGCAGGAATAGAGAGCAAAGAGAGAGAGAGAATGAGAGAAGATGAGAGAGAGAAAGAGAAGAAGAAGAGGGAGAGAGAGAGGAGGAGGAGGGAGGAAGAGAGGAGAGAGGAGAGAGGGAGGAGAGGGAGAGAAGAGAGGAGGAGACCACGAGGAGATGGAAACGAGGGAAGACGAAGAGGAGGAGGATGAGAGGATGGGTGTGGGAGTAGAGCAGGGAGAGAAGCAAGAGGGTTGTGGAAGAAGAGAGGGAGGTGAGAGGGGAGGAGAGAGGATGGAGTAGATCAAGGCTGAGGGAAGCTACGGTGAGAATGATGCAGAGGGAGTTGAGCGGAGAGAGAGAGAGAAGAAGAGAAGATGAGAGAGTAGGGAGAGAGAGGAAAAGAAGGAGTAGGAGGACGGAGTCAGCAGAAGAGCAGAGAAATGAGAGAGAAAGAAGAATGTTAATGAGTGAGAGAGAGGGAGAGGTGAGAGAAGAGAGGAAGAGAAATGAGATGAAGTGAGCGACAGAGGTAGGAAAGGGAGGGAGAGAGGACGAGACGAATATGAGAGTGGAGAGACAATTCTGAGAGTGAGACAAGAGAGACAAATTGCGAGTAGTGAGAGAGACAAGAGAGAAAAAGGAATGAAGATAAAAGGGGGGTGAGGGCAGGAGAGAATAGGAAAGGGAAGAGTGCAGGAGAAAGTAGAGGGAAAGAGAGGAGAAGAGTATAGAGAAGGGGTGAGAAATTGGGAGAGAGAGAGAGGAAGGAGTAAGGAAAGAATGGCTAGGGAAGAGGAGAAGAGAGGGGGAGGAAGAAGGGCGAGAGAGGAGGGAGAAAAGAAAGGAAAGAAAACGGCAAAGGCAAAGAAAAGCAGTAGTGTGTACACACCGCCCCTTAGGAAAAGGTTTGTCAAATGATAAGTCTACGTGGCGAAAGGGATTTTTTTCCATATGATCAAAAAGAGAAGGAAGAAAATAAAAGAAAATACTGTGTGTTAGTATAAAGGGTTGAGATAAGAGATTATAGTCTCAGTTGAAGTTTTCTAGATTCTTTAAGTCACTCCATGAGAACTGGTTACCAAAAGGGTCTGCAGGTTCAGCTGGAGGATCTTCTCTACTGGAGGAGGCATCTTGGTAAGTATGGCTGCTGTCATCTAAATCTTCAGAAGATGACCGATCATCACAGTATTTCTGATATTTTCTCTGTTGGGAATTTAAGGCACGATGAAAACTGTAGCTCTTGTATCTTTTTGACTTGTTTCATCCCTTTCGTAATCTGGGTTTTCCATACACAACACTGTCTTCTTCTGATACTTGAAAGTGGATCTTGCTTCTCTGATCTTGAGAAGCTGTGTAAGAGCCTCTTTCTTCTGCACGAGGCTGGGTGCTATAGGACATGGAGGTGGCAGCTCGGAGCAGTGTCATAGCCCTCTCTGAGCCTAGTTCTGGGAGACTTCAACCAGGCTGAGCCTGCTCTCATCAGAGACTAAGAATGGAATCTGTTCTGTATCTTTAAAGTTAGCAGTCTCCTCATAAGACTGAGGCTTTGTTTAGACACTCAGTCAGCGTTGTAGTCGTTTCCGTGGCTTTTGAATATAGTGGGCTTTCGATATATCAGGGAGAGAATCAATGCCTTGGTTTGCTTCCTTGGCCGCAGAAATGTTTGGTTCAAAAGACCAAGGAGGTATCTACACGGTTCAGAACTGTGTTGTTGGATTGTCTTAGGTGAACCTTCTCTTGAATCGCATTCTTCCTGGTTATCATGATTTATTTTCTTGATAATACTGAAATGTCCCAGCATGTGGAGAGGCAGCTTTGAAGAGATATTTGTCTGAAACATATAAAAATATATTCATTATATATTATATATCATCTACGCCTCTGTAGCAGAGAGAGAGAGAGAAGAGAGAGAGAGAGAGAGAGAGAAGAAGAGAGAGAGAGAGAGAGAGAGAGAGAGAGAGAGAGAGAGAGAGAGAGAGAGAGCAAGAGAGAGAGAGAGAGAGGAGAGAGAAGAGAGAGAGAGAAGAGAGAGAGAGAGAGAGAGAGAGAGAGATCCTCGAAGAGAGAGAGAAGAAAAGAGAGAGAGAGAGAGAAGAAAGCAGGAGAAGAGAAAGATGAGACGACCTCCATCAGAGAGAAAGAGAGAGAGAGCAAGAGGAGAGAGAGAGAGAGCCAACGAAAGAGANGAGGATGGAGGTTGGTCCTTCCGGCATCGTCCTGAAGAGCGGCCAGCCCATCCAGCTGGACGAGAACCTGAGGATGGTGGGCCGCTCCAAGCGCCACATCATGAACGACTCCGGCATGCTGACCTCGTGGGGCCAGGCCATCGTGTTCAGGGAGCCCTTCACCACGATCGTCCACGAAGGCCCGAGCGGCATCGTCCTCTCCGACGGACAGCTCATCCAGAAGCCCGCTCAGTAAACACGACTTTCATCGTTCAAGATTTTTCACTTTGTCTACCGATTGTATATAAGTAAAATTGAACAGCGCCAATTGTTTTTGTATCAGTTACCATAATCTGATATTTCAGATACCTGAAATTCGGAAACAATGCGTTGGAGAGGAAATATTAGACAAATTCTTCATGTGTCAGTTTATTTCTATCTGTACCCATCCCATTCACTCTCTCTCTATTTATATAGTATATGTTATATTGCATTAAATTGCAGTATATTTTAAGATGTACTAAATCATATCACACACACACACACACACACATATATACATACATACGTATATATTCTACTCTATTCTTCAGCCGTCAAAAATCCTCCGTTGGGCATAGGTCTTCTTCAGTCTACGCCACCTCGTTGAGGTTTAGTCTGCATGACAAGGAAGATAAGGGCCGCACCCTACCACGCTGGCACACTGCGGTTGTAGTTAGATCGCCTTTTACGACAGGCAGTGTAAGAGCCTGCACGTTGGGCCTTACAAGAGTTTGGTAGATGGCGAGCTTAGGGTGTAAGATAGACAACCAAGATGTCTAGACTCCATTAACTGAATAGAATGTTAGAGTGCAGATGCTCCTCGGGGCGATGTGTTGCTCCTTGCCTCCCCGCAAGGAGTCTGCCTGATCTACACAGTGGTCTAAAGATCGCTCTAAGTCACGTTGTTACCACGTGACAATCGGTGATGAACAAGCAAGCGTTACATCAATACATAGCTCTTGCGGAAGGGGATAGACAACACATCATTGGAATGTCTGATGTGGTAAGGAGAGATGAAGATACGTATGTGACAAACATGTAAGATTATATAAATATTTAGAATATAGTAATTAGATATAGATATAGCTGGGATAATGGCAGTGACATACGTTGTCTTCTTTTCACGTCCCCTTATCCACAGGGGATCCCTCTCTTAGTTACCCTCTACCCTTTATGCTCCCATTCCGTCCTTTCCCTCCTCTCCCTCACTTCTACGTGCATGTATATAT